GGGACCACAGGCATGCATCATCATGCCTGGCTAATATTTTGTATTTTTGGTAGAGATGGGGTTTCACCAGGTTGGTCTCAAACTCCCAAGCTCAAGTGATCCACCTGCCTCAGCCTCCCAAAGTGCTGGGATTACAAGCATGAGCCACCACGTCTGCCCTGAAATCTTTAGACATTAAAAAAAATACTGGGCCGGGCGCAGTGGCTCAGGCCTGTAATCCCAGCACTTTGGGAGCTGAGGAGGGTGGATCACCTGAGGTCAGGAGTTCAAGACCAGCCTGGCCAACATGGTGAAACCCTGTCTCTACTAAAAACAAGAGTTCAAGACCAGCCTGGCCAACATGGTGAAACCCCGTCACTACTAAAAATACAAAAATTTAGCAGGGCCTGGTGGCATGCGCCTGTAATCCCAGCTACTTGTGAGGCTGAGGCAGAAGAATAGCTTGAACCCAGGAGGTTGGAGGTTGTGGTGAGCCAAGATCAAGCCACTGCACTCCAGCATGGGCCACAGAGTAAGACTCCGTCTCCAAAAAAAAAAACGAAAAGAAAAAAAAAACACAAAACCTGTACACTTAAGTACTAGTATTAAAATACTTCTATATTTAAGAAAAAGACACTCAGACAAGAAGTAGTTAACTACTGAAGTAAAATCCAGATACAAGATTAAACCTGTTCACATTAATGTTTAACTTATAAGAGCTATAAGAAATGTGCTGCTAATCAAATCTTTGACCCTGGGTGGGGACAACCATTTGAAGGCAAGAAGAGTTCAGACTATACAATTTGGTTTTTTTCCTTTTTTTTTGAGACGGAGTCTTACTCTGTTGCCCAGGCTGGAAGGCAGTGGTGTAATCTCAGCTCACTGCAACCTCTGTCTCCTAAGTTCAAGCAGTTCTCCTGCCTCAGCCTCTCGAGTAGCTGGGATTACAGGTACATGCCACCATCCCCGGCTAATTTTTGTATTTTTAGTAGAGACGGGATCTCACCATGCTGGCCAGGCTGGTCTCAAACTCCTGATATCAAATGATCTATCCACCTCAGCCTTCCAAAGTGCTGAGATTACAGGCATGAGCCACTGCGCCCTGATTCAGACAATTTGAATTAATAGTCTTATACACTGGTGAAAGAATCTTTAGACAGCAGGAATGTTGGGTGATTAGAAATCATCCTGCTTGTATTATGTAATAACTACATAAGGTTTACAAAGTAACCTATTAGGAAGAAGACACATGTTTCTAACAATGCAATTAAAGCCTATTCCTAGAAGGAGAAAGTAAAAAGTTAGACCTGAAAAGTCTGGTAACAAACCAAATTGCATAACACAAAGAAATGGTACGTATGTGAGATGACAGATATGTTAATTAGCCTGATTTGATGATTCCACAATGTGTGCATGTATCAAAACATTACATTGTACCCCATAAATACATACAATTATTATCAATTAAAAATAAAATCAAATAAATTGCCAAGTTTTATACTCAAATTCTTTCAAACATTGGGACTCCATCTGCTAAAAACTGAAACTAGTAATTTATTTTAATTCTACTTAAAGGACTTTAGTCACTAGTATTTAGGCTTACAACTGAATCCAGGCAGAAGACATATATATTCCATTAGCATTCTTTCAGCATTGCTATGACCAAGGAGTATTACCCAAGGGTTATTTCTGAGGTAGTACTACCTACTAGACCTACTGAACTTTTGTAATGTTCAGGGGCAACTTTTAAAACATGACATAGAAATGCTGTGATGGTAGGTACCTTAATATTGACCTATTGTTAATACACTGTGGAATATCTGTGCCAAGGTTGGCACTATGGCAAACATGGAGGTCTTAACCTTACTGCCCGGAAGCAGTCCTTCAGAAATCTTCCAAGGTATCTTCTTTAATCAAGTATGTACACAATGTTTTCTGTAGACATCAAACCAGTCAGGGCAACAAAAGAGCAGACACTTTAATCATTAAAAATGGACTTTATATCCTAGAAAAACAATTGATCATCTTGGGAGGATGCTAGTAAATTAACTCATTGTGAAAACTGACAAAGAGAATCAAACATATATGCTGTCTGCCTTCCCTTTAAGGAACTGTAATCAAATGCCGAGACAGTTCTCAATATAAATTACACAGTTTTGCAAAATCCTAATAAAATAACACATATAGGCAAAAATCACAGATGGCCACTACACTAATAAATTACTCTAGCCCTCCACACCCAAAACAGAACCCAAATCAATCAAGCCCCTGTTTGGTCAGTTTTCAGATACTAGAAGAGAGGAACAATTAAATAAAATCAAGGGAATTCAATGAGTAAAACATTCAAACTGTAGAAAACTCTAAAGTCAAAATCTGGTTTCCTCAACATATAAATAACAAAGAATAAAACTATGGTGAAGGGGAGCCTACAGATGAAAATGTTTAGCAGATATTTTCAACAAAATACATGTGTAGCTTGTTTTAAATATTGAGCCAAACAGTGGGAAAACACGAATATTAAGACACTAGCAGGAAAGTTGGAACACTGATCACGTATTTGATAATTTTAAAAATTGTGTTGTGATTGTTTTTAAGAGGAGTTATACATATTTAAATGTTTATAGATAAGGTCATAAATTGTCTGGGATTTGCTTTAAAATAATTAGGAGATAGGGCAAATTCACAGTTATACATAAACTGTGACTAAACATGAGCTGGTAATAGTCGAAACTGGGTGATAGATACAAAAGAGTTCACTATAACGTCTTCTCTACTTGGTGCATGCTTGAAAAATTCCACAATAAAAGTTTTAAAAACAAAGAACTAGAAAGTTCTACATAACAATCTACAGAGTAAGAACAACAACAACAACAAAAACTGCTTGTCCCTCAGAGGTCAAAACAAACAAAAATCTTAATAGAGAGTTAGATAAGCATTCTTCCTGTATATACATACACGCACACACGCTTACTCAACAAATGAGAAAAACCGAGACCCAAAGAGGTAAGTCTTGTTCAAGGTTACAAAACAAAGCAGCAGCAGAGCCAAAACTAAACTACAATTTCAAGCCCACAAAGAGGTCTAAGAAGCTTTTGAAACTAAGTGGTAGAAAATATTTTCATAAGAAGATCTGAGACCTCAAGTGGTCTGAAAGCTCATTAAAAGTGTAAAAAAAAAGCCTTAAAAGTTTGTCAGGTGAGAAAAAAAGTCAGCTGGTTTGAGAGGCTAAATGCTAGAGTGAGAATAATAAGGCAAAAAGTATAGAGAACAACTGGGTACAGTATTTGGTAGTCATCCTCGCTAGAAAGAAAATTTAAATCTATGAGGTATATTTGGTAGCTCCCTGATTCAAGGTGTCTGCAGAAGAGAATGTTGTCTACCTTACAAAAAGCTTATTCATGAACCGGTAAAATATAAAATCATATTTTTAAATAAATACTCTTCAAAAACAAGTGAAAAAATTTTAAGTCTTATTAAGCACACAGTATTATTTAAATCTTAAACCTAAAAATGAGATTTATATTCCTGTCCAAGAAGAGATAGGCTTCAAAATCTGACAGTGAAGGGCCTTCATTATTGAGGATTAACATTTCAAAAGAGAAGGGATGCACATTTATATTAAAAGTCATTAAGAAGAATAAAATTCAGTGTATGCCAATACTATCTGTTTAATAAGCTTTAATATTAAATTTAATAGTAAATATTAAATTTAATAGTAAATCTACCTAAAAAGAATATAACCTATTAATGAGACATGTAACCTCATTCACCAATGTCATTTTGAAAACAGTAAAACCTAGTAAATTTGATATATTTTTAAATAAATCATTTTCAAACTACTGGGTATTCATACTAAAACTTAATTTTAATTTTTGGTTAACGTGTTAGTGACTATTTTCAAAAGTGTCTGGTGAATTGGATTCCTTTTTTATTGGAAGCATCTATTTTTAAAAAGACATTTCTGGTATCAAATTACACAAGACTAAAAACTATTTTAAACATTCATATTAAGCATTTCAAAGTATATGTCCTTTAGTGATTATATCAAACCAGGAGGTCAAAGAAAATTCCAGTGTAATCTCTAAATTTAATATGACAGATAAATGAGACCACTGTTAAATAATAATCTGCCTTTTAAGGAGCATGAAAGGATAATGCAGAAACAGAAGCTGTGACTTGAGAACTTCACCACACAGACTTAAATTAACTCAAATAGTACATTATGGGTGTTTCTCTGACCCTTGCCAGTATCTTCAAAGCAATAATGTACCTCCCCCACTTCAAAAACATGTTTTTAAGAAGTACTCTTCTCAATAACTTAAAATCAAAGCTATCAAGTAAAAATTCACATAAAGACAAGGAGGGGAAAGAACATTATTTCTGAGTGACAAAAATATTAAGGAGTAAAAATGGATAAAAGTATGCACTTGAGTCAGGTAGTACTGTGTTTCTCTGCTACTCACTACTCCTGTAACCCTTGCATCAGTTTTCCCATCCGTAAAGGGGATGATCACAATATTCACCTCACAGTATTGTGGTGAGAGGAAATGAGACAATGCTCAAAGACTGCTAACTTAGTGGCAGTCACACAGTACGCAGTTCAATCAATAACCTTGTGATGCAATTTCAAAGGTTCATTCCAAGAAAAATGCTTAATGCCCTTCTCATAAAAATGTCTCTATCCTACACTCACTTGTGGGAGAAAATGAAAAACACAAACAAAAATAAAAATATTTTATTTTTATCTTACGGGCATAATTTTACTTATATAATTTTAGGATCATTTGGGGATAAGTATCAAATAAAAGCCACACCCTACAGTTTTTAATAGTATGCCAATATTGTATGTGTGTTCAAACCTGAAAAAGAGGAAAACAGAAAATCCTTTAAGTGCTTTTAAGTTTGGGGTTATTCGTATGACTAAATACACTATTATCTGTTAAATAAAGTGTTAATACTGCCAGTCACAAATTTTATAATAAAGTATTTTAAAACATAAAAATAAAAAGGAAAGCAATTACCTTTGTACAATAAAGCATCCAAAGTTCAAAGAGCCTCTCTCTGGATGCCATTCTGGCTTTTCACTCTGGCACTTTAAGTTTCCTTAAAAAAATTATGTTCAAGACTACAGCATGTTCATTTTATTTTCCAAGTTTTTCAGCCGTTACAGTAAAGCTCATAGCAGTAAGGAAAGCAAAAAGAAGTGAAACAAATGGACCGTCCTCTGGTTAAAAACAAAAAGGCAATTTCAGCAGTCACTCCAACATCTCTTCATCGGTGGTAGTTGGGCAATTAAATAAATCTGTGAAAGAGAAAAACATCCACAGGTTAGAAAAAGAGGCCGTATTAAAAAATCTAGCCTTATCAGAAACGAAAGAAGATGTATCTTCTTCACTTTCCACAAACAACCCGCTATACTTTCACATGGACTGATTAGATTTCATAGAAACTTGTGTTTCAGGAAGACATTACAGCTAACACAGTATGTCACATCATAGAATCCTCTAGGGCAGACAGACTCCTAGAGATGGGTACATGTTCATAACCAAAAATGCGTCCAGTGAGAATAAGGAACAAGACTCCCTTTCCACTCATACCTTTTCTACAGACACAAGGAAAAGGTCCACATCTCAGACATTTCAAATACATCAAAGCTCTTAGAATGTTCTTGTTCTGGTCTCCTCTTCAAAGTTGCTGGGGCCAGGCGCGGTGGCTCACGCCTCTAATCCCAGCACGTTGGGAGGCCCAAGTGCGTGGATCACCTGAGGTCACGAGTTCGAGACCAGACTGGCCAACATAGTGAAACCCTGTCTCTACTAAAGAAATACAAAAAATTAGCCGGGCGTGGTTACGGGCAATCCCAGCTACTCAGCAGACTGAGGCAGGAGAATTGCTTGAAACCGGGAGGCAGAGGTTGCAGTGAGCCGAGATCGCGCCACTGCACTCCGGCCTGAGCGACAGAACAAGACTCCGTCTGGGGGCGGGGGAAAAAAAAAAGTTGTTGGGACTGTTTGCTATGTAGCAGGGCAGGCGTGGGGGCGGGGGAGGAATTCCCAGTTCGTTTGTTCTAACAATCCTCTGAGAGTGGAAGTCCACCCGCCCACCTGGCCTCTCCACCTCTCCATCCAAGAGAAGTGGGCACGCACGCACGGGAGAGGAACTTCCCGAAGAAGCGTCCAGGTGTTTGGGGGAATCTTGAAATTTCCTCCTCGCATCCCAGACAACACAAACAGAGGCAAACTTAAGGTGTGCCAAGCTGCCAAGAGAAGCTCTAGAACTGAGGAACGCGGACTCGGCGTCTCCCGACCGCGATCCCAGCCTGCACTACAGTATCGAAACACGCCCGGACAGCCTAGCCCACTCACAGCCGCCCCTCACTCTGCAGACCCTCCACCACCAAGCACCGGGGCCCTCCCATTTCTCGCCATGCCGCCCCCTCTTCCCAACGGCCCGCTCCCCATCACTGCGCTCACATTGGGTGCCGCGCCGCAGCCGCCGCCCCGCCGCCGTCTAACTGCTTCCCTCGCCCCCTTCCCAAGGCGAAGCCCCGTGTCACCCCGCAGCCAAGAAGGCGGGCGGGCGGGACATGGGGGCGGGGCGCGAGGCCGGGAGGAGCCGGGGGCGGGGCTGCCCCCTCGGCTAATCATTTCGGCCGCTGAGGATTTACCCAGCCCTCGGGCGGCAGCTGTTCAATGGTCGCGTAGGCTGGGGATGGGCGGGGTGACTTGAAGCCCCGCCCCAGCACACCTGCGCAGCCGCAGTCGACAGGCTCTGGCTGCCCATCCCTCGGCGGGCGCCGGCCGCGGCCCTGGAGCCAGCCTTCCCTCAGCTGGACTAGGAGGAGGGCTGACGTGCCGACGTCTACGCCCGCCCCGCTTTTCGCTGATGGCGTCATTTCCGTCAGTCATCTGAGGGCGTGAGACCCTACCGTGTTAAAGGGGATTTTGTTTTGACTTATTTGTAGAACTGAGATTGGTCCTGGGAATTTAGAGTAATGTAAAAAGACAAAACACACACACCAACCCCCCCCCCAAGAAAAATATCCTTTTCTTTTTGTGCCTGCTTTCGTCGTCACCGAGTGTCATATCCAAAGGGCTTATTTTACCACCAAAGACTTAGAAAGGGTTTTGCTTTTTCAGAAAAGAAGCAAAAGGCGTTTACTAGCTATAGACAACTTTCAGAGAGATTTTGTTTTGTATAAGGAAAAACGCGTAAGATAACTCACCTTTGTTAAACCTAAACATTTCCACAACTTTTTATTGTGAACGATTTCAAGTATATTCAAAAGTAAACTAGTATTGTGGTAGAATTCTTAGTTTACTGTCACCCAGCTTCAAAAATGATCAACTAATGTCCCATCCTGTTTCATTTGTAACAACGATCCACAAATTGCCTGTGAAGAGCCAGAGAGTAGACGAGGCGCAGTGGCTATCGCCTGTGATCCCAGAATTTTGGGAGGTCGAGGCGGGCGAATCCCTTGAACTCAGGAGATCAGCTTGGGCAACAGAATGAGACCCTGTCTCTGCAAAAGAAATTTTAATTAGCTTGGCGTGGTGATACACGCCTGTAGTTTCAGCTACTTAGAAACTAAGGTGGGAGCATCGCTTGAGCCTGGGAGTCAAGGCTGCAATGAGCTCCGATGGCGCCACTGTACTCCAGCCTGGGCGACAGAGCGACACACTGTCTCAAAAAATAAAAATAAAATAAAAAGAGCCAGACAGTAAATATTATAGGCTTTGCAGCCCATTCTGGTTGCAACTTGCTTAACGAAAATCAAAAGAACAATATTTTACGATATGTGAAAATTAGACGAAATTCAAATTCAAGTTTCAGTGTCCTAAAATTTTATTGGAACACAACCATGCCCATTCCTTTAGTATCGTCTATAGCTTCTTTCACTCTACCATGGCAGAATTGAGAGTAGTTGCTTGCAAATTACGCCTTCAATTTTTTATCCTGAAATTACATTTTACATTCAGCACTTCTTGGTTATCCATTAGGCATGTGAAATTTATATGTCAAAACTTTGGGGGTAAAATATACTCTTCCTGTGGGATTCCCTATTTTAGTACTTAGCAACTCCATTCTTGCACAAGAACCTAGGAAGTGTGCTTGCCACCTTCCTCATGTACTTCACATCCAATCTAATCTTTTCAGCTATATCTCCAAAATATATCTAACCATCTCTCCACACTTTCTTCCTTAAATGGATGGTGGTAACTATTTAAAATAGTAGTAGTAACCACTATCTTTCTTTTCCTTTTTTTTTTTGTTTTTTTAATTAGAGGCAGGGGCTTCGTATGTTGTCCAGGCTGATCTCGAACTCCTGAGTTCAAGAGAGCCTCCTGCCTCTGCCTTCTGAAGTGCTGGGACTCCAGGTGTGAGCCATTGCACCTGGTCGTGGCTACTGTCTTTAAAATGGTTTAAGTTACTACAAAATATTTTCTAGCTTATTGTAGTAGCCTTCCAACGTGTTTCCCTGACTCTGCCCATGACTCTACCCCCAATCTATGGATTATTCTCAACACAGCAAACAGAGCGATCTTTTAACATGGAAGTAAGGTGTCACTTCTCTGCTAAAAAGCTTCCAATGGCTTCCCATTCCACTTTAAAAGGCCTGCAAGGACCTGCTTCATTTTCCTCCAACATTTTCCTCTCTGACTTCTCCAAGTATTCTGGCCTTTCTTACCTTACTTGAGACACGACTTCTTTGCTGCTTTTCAAAGGCACAAAGCACACTCCAGCCTTAGGGATTTTCACATGCTATCCCTTCTACCTGGATGTCTCTTTCCCCAGATGTCTGCACAAAATCTCTTTTTTTTTTTTTTGAGATGGAGTCTCGCTCTGTCACCCAGGCTGGAGTGCAGTGGCATGATCTCGGCTCACTGCAACCTCCATCTCCCAGGTTCAAGCAATTCTCCTGCTTCAACCTCCCGAGTACCTGGGATTACAGGCGCCCACCACCACACCTGGCTAATTTTTGTATTTTTAGTAGAGATGGGGTTTCACCATGTTGGCCAGGCTGGTCTCAAACTCCTGACCTCAGGTGATCCACCTGCCTCAGCCTCCCAAAGCGCTGGGATTACAGGCATGAGCCACTGCGCCTGGGCTGCACAAAACCTTTAAGAACCACCTTATCCGGGCTGGGTGCAGTGGCGCACACCTGTAATCCCAGCACTTTGAGAGGCTGAGGCAGGATTGCTTGAGGCCAGGAGTTCCAGATCAGACTGAGCACACCAGTGAGACCCCCACCTCTATTTAAAAAAATGAGAAAAAAATTAGCCCAGTGTGGTGGTACTTGCCTGTAGCCCTACCTACTTGGGAGGCTGAGGTGGGAGGATCACTTGAGACTAGTTCAAGGCTGCAGTGAGCTATGATCATGTCACTGCACTGCAGCCTGGGGAAAAGAGCAAGACCCTGTCTCTAAAAAAGTGAACTAAAATAAAAAGAATCACCTTATCCGTGAAGCTCTCCTTGACCCTTCTTGCCAAAATAGCAACCTCTCTTCCTTCTTACTCTCTTTTTCACTGTAGCACTTATCAGCTGATATTAATATATCATTTGTTTGTCCAGTGTGTGTTTCCCCTAATAAAATGTAAGCACCAAGAAAACAGGGACTTTGTTCACTGCTATATCTTCAGGTTCTTGAACAGTTCTGAAACACACAATAGGAACTCAATAAATATTTCCAGACTAATATGAATGAAAGAAATTAGCTTTTTCACCATATGCCTCTATATCCCCAATCCGTCCAGTTTTTCTATAAACTGTTAATGTACAGCATGTTGGACTCTTCAAAAGACTACCACTATAATACATAATCAATTTGTAAACTAGAAAGAAAAATGTGTTGTCTATAAACAAAAGTTGATAATATTGTACAACTTGCTTCTCAAACTTTCACGTGCATACTAATAACCTGAGGATCTTGTTAAAATGCTGATTTTGGTTCAGTAGGGCTGGGATTCAGTGGGTCAGCAGTCTGTCAAGCTCCCAAGCGATGCCAGTGCTGCTAATTCACAACCACACTTTGATAGTTTCCTATAGTTAATACAGAATGCATCTGGTTTGTTTCGGAGGCAGTACTGATAGATTTGCATGGATTCATCCATCTATTATCATTTTCTTCTCCTTGCATCTGACTAGTGACACAGATTTGAAGAGGTATAATCTGTGGCTGTGACACAAAACCAAACCAATTGCTACATATAGGCATTGAATCTCCAAGCATGACATTATTGCAGTTACAGCTAGAAAGAGAGAAATACATTGTCTAAGATGCCACATGACAGTCCCTACCGGGGCTCAAACGATAGCAGTATTTTGCTTTGGTATCTATCATAGAGGCAATCCTCAGCTTTGCCAGCAAATAGGAAGACTCCAGAGGACTGACCCTCAATAAACACACAAAAAACTAAAACATGTAACCTGTGTGTCCCTTCTTTCTGTCTCATAGGAGGTCTCAAGCTATGCACTGACAAGGAGAAACTCAGGAAACTTGCCCATATTGTCTCTAGGAGTCTACTAGTTGATTATCTTTTCTGTATGATAATTAAACTAAGGCTGGTACCCATCAAACTTCTGTGAACCAGGATTATCACAGTTTAATATCTTCTTTCCCTTTTCCGTTAGACGAAATACCCAATGGATATTAGTAGAGCATTAAGTAGTTCTTTTTCTGAAGGGTGCAAGCGTTCCCTAAAGCTACAGAGAGTAAGGGGAGATGAGGAGTTATGCTTTTGTTTAGATAATTCTTTTCTTTGTACCACATACAAGGCAATAATTACAACACCTCACTGCATGGGTTTAAGTAAGCTGTCCCTCCTGGAACAGGAGTTCTTAGTTTCTTAGTTCTCAGTTCTCCTGTGTCTCTTCCCCAAAGTCCTGTCTTTAAGCCATTCCCCTCTATAGTGTCCCCATTATACTCACAGAATAAGAAAGGGTGGATCCCAGCCCCTTCTTGAGCCTGGCAAATTCTGCTGCATTTAGGTAACATCTAGGTGTCAGCTAGATGCCAACATTCTTCCTCTGTTGAGGCTTCTGATGGCTCCCAGGAGTGGGGATAAGCTTTGGTTTCATGAGTGAGCCCCTCAACAACATTGAGATGTTTCTCTACCAATGAAACTACAGCTACTTTTTCTCCCAATGTACCTTAAGATAAACACATTTACCACCTTGAGAACATTTTCTTTCATAAGACTATATGACCCAGCAGCTTCTAAAATAGCCTGTCCTTTTATGTTAAAAGTATATATCTGGTCTGATTTTCATGAAAAAGGCCTCCACATTAATTTAAATGGTCTTGCACTCAAATAGCATCTCAGTTTATGTCAGAGCTATGAGTTTCAGTTCATCTCACCAGATACAACCTTAGAATGCCACTAAATTTATTAACAATGAAAAATACACCTGCCAGCTGGGCATGGTGGCTTATGCCTGTAATCCCAGCACTTTGGGAGGCCGAGACAGGTGGATCACTTGAGGACAGGAGTTCAAGACCAGCCTGGTCAACATGGCGAAACCCCATCTCTACTAAAAATACAAAAGTTAGCCGGGCATGGTGGTGCACGCCTGTAA